TTTATATAAATAAGAAGAAGAATCTTTCGAATTTTATTTTATTCATTATAAAATTGATAACTATTTTTTCTTTCAGAGGAAATCAGTGATGATTTTTATTTTGATCGGACAAAAAATTTGAGTAATTATGAAATTATTGTTGCAAGTGATCCAGAAATACCATATTCTTTTTTAGAGAACAAATTCTTTGATCGACAAATTCTCGATGATTATCCAGAGTCTTTGACGTCATTTAGAAGGTTGATGATTGATACTTTAGCTACAGCTACAAAAGCCAGAATAGTAATTTACTTTCATGGCAATCAATCTTCAAGTGAAGAATACTTGAACTTTTGGGAAAAGTATCTATACGATATTTGGTATAATTCCTCATGTGATGTAATATTAACACTCAACAAAATGCACTTTGAAGACTATCATTTTCCCCTAGAAGGTTCATATCCAGCATCAATGTCAGAGTATGCTATTGTTACATATCATAAAGGCTATCAAACTCCAGCAGAAAAAATTCGAGATTTTTATGGAGTTTGGATAAGTTTGTTTACACTATTCATTCTCATAGCAACATCCATTGTTATATGGTTCACTGAAAACAAAAACATTATATTCATAATGTTTGAAATAATTCGATTACTGATAAGCCAAGGTCTTTGCACGCGAATGAATACACTTTCTTTGCGAATTTTTTTTGGCGTTGTGTTTATTTACTTTTTAATTATTCAAGCCACTTTTAATGGCCATTTAGCGGAATTTTTGACGAAACCTCAATTACGAAAACATCCTGATACACTGCAGGATCTGCAAGATTTAGGATATACTGAAGTTTATTATTGGGAGGATGTTTATCGAGATCTTGCAAAAACACCGGAAGAACGTGGACATTCAGTGTCACTTACAAGTACTTGTTTGCAATATTTAATATACAATAATACAGCAGCAGCCTGTATTGGAGAATATATCGAATTTCGGAATCAAACTTACAATCAGAAAAATTTGTATCTCAGTAAAAAAACTTTTGATTCGTTTTATGTTCAACATCCTATACGTCGAGGGAGTCCATTGTATCGTCGGATATATCAATTTTTTCTTTTGCTTGGAGATTTAGGTTTCCAACAGTATATATGCCGGATCATATATAGACAATACAGCTCTAGATATAAAATAGATGAAGCAAATCTCGACGAGGATTTTCGACCTATAAATTTAGAAAATCTGATATTTGCTTTTATTCTATTAGGAATTGGTTTATGTACTGCAATTGTAGTTCTTTTTTTTGAAAAATTCTGTAATTTTCGGTCGTGTAGAAAAATGGATTTCTGTAAAATGAAATCCTTTTTCAAAAAATAAGTAAATATCAGTTAAACAAACATTTTACTTCCTGTAAGTTCTACGTAATTTATACTTTCTTTTTGAAGTTAAAAAATATCAATTATTTTATCGAATGTTTTTAGAAAGGACAAAATAGAGGGAGAAGAAAATAAAAAGTTTCTTATTAAAAGTTGTGTGGATGAAATTTTAACCTCTGATGAATTATTTATGGAAGATAATAATTTCTATCAGAAGATGATGATAACTGAGGTACAAAAATCACATTTATAATGTGACCACCAACATCACGCTGCAGAAATTTGTGACAATTTTGAAGTAATGAGTAGACAGCTGGAATCTAATCAGGAACTGAAGCATTGAAGCTCTATAACGTCAAGAAGCAGGTGGAGCAAACATTACCTTCGTTCTGTGTTAATTTGCTGATGACGATGCCCCTCCACTTCAAGGAGAAAAGAGAGCTCTTGAGTAGGAAGATATTGCACCAATGAAAAATGAGACAGGCGTAATCATGCGTCTTGACGAAGTCGTGTTAGTCATAGAGAAGGCGGACACTTTGAAGTCGAGTTGGTAATGATATTAGCGGCAGTTCGATCATGGTAGTCATTAAATTAAAAAAGATCCAATGAGTTGGATTTTAATCAAAAAAAAATATCAAGGCCGAACTACGTCGTACCACACGTGAAAAATTCATGATAAAGATATCGCAATTGTTGGTTTCATGCTATTTGAAGGGGCCAAGAAATGAATTTTCTGAACTTTTGGCATGATAGTACATTTATTGATATCAAGACGGAGAGAATGAGCAGTCGAACATGAAAATCAGTCGATAAGAATACGAGATATAAGCAAAAATAAAAAATACTTAAAGAAAATGTGTATAACTTCTATGCTGATGATGCTAGGGGGTTGATCGAGGGCTTACCTAGAGAATTTACCTTTTGGAAGGATATTTGGTTGATATTGAATTTAGAAATTATTATTTGGAGTTCTATTTCGATTTTACGGCAAAAAAGGTTGAAATCATAATTTATGTTTGGATCATAAAATTATGAATGGCAATGGGAAGATCTTGATGAGACGATTCCAAAACACTGGCTGTTGACCTTGTTTTGTTGGAAAAAACATGAGATATTGGCGAAAAATTGTAGAACATAAAAATGTGCATAACTTCTATGCTATTGATGGTAGGGGGTTGATCGAGGGCTCATATGAAAGATCTGGACCTGAGTAAAAAATTTGATCCCCCCTATAGGATATCCCCGTCAAAAATGCCGTATCTCGCTTAGTTTTCGAGTTATGAGCGTTTAAAGGTTTTTCTATGATTTCGCGCAGCATAACTTTGTTTTCTGCTAATAACTCAGGATCTATGAGGCCTACATGAATAATAAGGATATCAATGGATTCGTGAGAATGTCAGCTTTTTATTGCACTAGTCAAAATTATGATTCGAGTATAATTTATGCTAAAATTGAAGAAAGTTCCGGTTTTACCCCATTTTAGGAGTGAAACAATTGATTTTTCAGAGGTTTGACCTGATTCCGTGATTCTCGGCATCGAGACAAAGAGAATGAGTGGTCAAACTTGAAAATCGGACAACTTTGATTTTTCAACCCCAAAAAATGGCAAGTGGTACCCCTTTCCATTTTTTTAGGCCAAAAAATAAAAGTACTCCGATTTTGATGATTGAGGGCTCATTCTCTCCGTCTTGATGCGTAGAAATGCGGAATCGAGGCCCAGCCCAAGAAAATTCACTTTAACACACTTAAAAAGGGGTAAAACTGGATGCAAATTGCGAATCATCATCCCCTTGACTTTAAACCCTCATAACTCATGAACGGACGGTCCAATGATCGTTTTTAGGGACGTTTTAGAAACTTTAGGATCTAAGCTGAATATGAATATCCATAAAAAATGTATAAAAAATTTTTTTCACCCTTAAAATCGCTAAAATATAAAAAAAATCACATTTTTTTGGGAAGTTGCCAATTATTTTGGCCATTTTGAGGGTGAAATAAATTTTTTAAACGTTTTTTATGGATATATATTTCTAGCTTAGATTCTAAAGTTTCCAAATACCTCTTTAAAATCGTTATTTGATGACTTGTATGGGAGTTATAAAGGTACAAAGTTAGCGAGCAGATGATTTTTTAAACTTCATTCTACTTGAGTAGAGAGGGTGAGTATTAAGCTCGCCAATTGCCTGATCTCGCAGTCTTCTCTCAATTTCTTAGTGCCCTAACAATGCTCCCTTCTTCCAGCGCACCCCTAAAAATTATCATTTTTCAAATGATTTCCCTATTACCTACTCAATTTCAATTGACATCGAACTTCGATCTTCCACCGCACAACGCTAGTAGATGGCAGTAGGTAATAGAAATATTAAATAATTAATTTACCACACAAAAAATTTACGCTTGAATGGCGAGGAATATTACCCCTTTACTGGAGTATTTTTTATCTCTCCTTTGATCAGGGTAAAAATTATTCTACTGTAGAGTCAAAAATATCTTGCGGTCGTTACGTCCCACGGTTACTCTTCTGTAGAGTAAATTTTACATCAGATTTTAGGGTAATTTTTATGCGAAAATTTTCTCCGTGTATACTTCATAAAAAAATTAATTTTATTTCGAAGGGCCCTGGGTCTTTTTTTTCATACGACCCGGAGCGAATGAACTACCTTAATTAACAGAGTAATAAATGTGTACAAAATGAAACTTTCTGACAATATAGTTATGTAAAAAATATGGTATAATAAGTTCAATCTTCGGTCAAAGTGTACTCTAGAAACTATGGTTTCCTGATTAAATAACCGCGGACAAAATAACCGTGCAAAAATAACCACAGACGAAATAACCACCCGATAAAATAATTGCGATTCAAATAACTAAAGTACCAATTTCTTATATTTTACACCAAAGTGAGTGGCAATCGTTCAAGACGCAGGAAATATCAAATAAATCTGAACTTGCCGCATAAGTAATACTATTGTTACACTACAAGGAAACACAAGATTGAAAATCCTACAGAATAAGATACAATTCAGTTGGTTTTGCCGTTAAACACGAGACTGCATATTCTACATAATCACAAAATAACGGTTATTTTACCTGCAGTTATTTTATCTTGCGGTTATTAATGCACGGTTATTTAAGCGTGGTACCGAAACCATCGTCTAAATTAATCTCACTGACGAAAAAAAAACACCATTTCAGCAAAAGAATTGCTTATGAATACATTTTTCATTGTTATAAAAATTTTATGCATATATCTCATGACTCCAATATCAAATGAGTATTGAACTATTTTCTTATAAATAGTCCAGTCATATTAGATTTTAAATCGGGAAATCTTGAAATGGATCAAATTTTAATAGAATATTTGTGGGGGATGTAGAATTAGTTTCCCCTAAAAAACTATTTGCAAGTTAGTTTTAATTGATTCTGTTTTTTAAGTAAAGTTAATTGAAGTTAACTTGAGCTCACTATGCAAATAGTTTCTTATTATTATTTCTATTCTACCCCCAGTTACCCCATGTATCGTTAATAAAAAATCAAAAAAATGAATATCATTAATCGACTCAGCATTAAAAACTTTATCGATTGATGCTATTTATTTTTGCGATTTTTTTTTATGTCACTTAGGGAAAAAATGCATAAAAAAGCGTTTAAAGGGTGATTTTAACCCTTGCCCGGTGTCGGAGCTTACTTTTTTTTAGGGGAAACTAATTCTACATTCCCTACAAATATTCTATTAAAATTTCATCCATTTCAAGATTTCCCGATTTAAAATCTAATATGACTGGACTGAAAGTCTTATTCTTCAGTGGAAAAAAGATATTTCCTCAATATTTAATTCTTGACATAATACTTCTTCTTATGATGGATTTGATGATGAATATATTCCACCTTTATGTGCTTTATCCTTCAACTCTTGATAATAATAATAAACAACCAGCATGAAATAAACATTTATGGCTAAAAAAAAAGGAACAACATAAATATAATAATGAACATACTTAAAAAAAACGTTTCAGATGAATATTAAATTTAATATCTTACTTGATGAAATCAGATATTGAATGAATGATACCCATATTGTGCTGCTAACTTCTGGAGCAGTAGTGACAATGGTAATCATAGCAATACCAAAAGGTAGAATTGTTAGAGAATTGGTAAATCCAACACATAAGTATGGAAATATGAGTTTATGATTCATCTGTAAGATAAAATTGATTAGCCTCACACTTATTTCCCTTCTTCTATTACATTAATTCATATCAGTCTAGTTTGTACTTACTCTGACAACTCCAATGATGAAAATAATTAATAATAAAATGACAAATATCACATATGTGACAGCTCCAGCAACACAACCTTTTATAAACGAAATAATTATCTCAGTCCTCTCATTTTTTGGATCAAGTAGTGGACTTATTAATCCGGGAAGTAAACTGAGAGGTATCAGCAGCATCAAACAGCCAATCTGAAAGTATCAGTAATAATTTTAATTTTTAAAATGATAAAATAAAATTTAATTTTATTGTGATGATTGCAACCAGAGGCCTTGTGAATTACAAAACCTTTTGTTTTAATTTTTTTCATAATGAATTCAAAATGAATAACAATAAGTAGATACAATATACAGCAAGATTGACAGTGATCTAACAACATTAGTAACATAAGATTGTAGTAATGAGTCAATGATAGAGAAATGATTCATTTTGTATATAAAATGATACTTACAAGGTTAAGAACCCCAATAATCAATGATCCTTTTTTCAGAGAAGCATAAAAGCAACATGATTTGAGTCCCATGTCTGAAATAAATATCAATTGAAATTAAAAAATTCTAACCTATAAGTTATTATAAAAAAAAATAAAACTATTTCGTAAATACTCCCCTTTTTAATGTCTTCAAATATTATACCGGCAATCAGAAAATAAAAATGGACTTAGAATATAAAGAAGTAATTATTTACAGCAACTGTCAATATACTGACATTAAAATTAACCAATTATTTCCTTTTCATAATAATTATATTCAGGTATTCCTATTTTAACTAAATGATTTGTTTGCTCTGTAAATTTCAGACTATAACGATGACGAATATTTTAAAATGTTCAAAAATAAACGTAACCAACAAAAATTCTACTGCGTCATACGGAAAATAAAATTATACTGTGAATTTAAGAAGTCATGGAATAATAAACAACAGTACTTACTTTCCTTTAGGTAGCAATTAATTGAGGAATACTGGGAAAAGTGCTGAACACTTAATATTTATATATATATATATTTATTAATATCAAATTGATGATCAGTAGTATTAAAAAGACGACAAGGTAAACACTAACCCCACATTTTATACTGACGTTTTTGTAGAACTACTGCGACGAGGTCAAATTCCCACCCGGTTTATTTAAAAGTGCGCGGGATATTACAATATTACGTTAATAATGATAATTATTATTATTATTATTATTATTATTATATATATATTTATAATGTATAATAATTATTGTATAAAAAATAAATGTAATTTTTTTCCTAAGTAGAACGTGTATTGATTGGCCTATCAAGGTATAAGTATGTGTTTTCATTAACTCCCGGGGTAAAAATAAAATAGATCTACATTGATCTACTTAGATCTATTTTTAGGCACAATTAGATCTACTTTGTTCTGTGTACATTTGTTTTGATCCCTTCAGATCTTCTGTGGTCTCTGTAGATGTATTAAATTTTTTTTTATCATCGAGATCAATGGAGATCTTCATAGACATACAGTAATTTCACTAGATATACATAGATTTACTTAGATCAAATTTTCTTTAGTTTTTTAGATATAAGTAGATCGGGTTAGATCTAAAAAATGGCGAAAATGTGGATCTATGTAGATCTATTTTATTTCTTCTTGGGATAGCATGTTAACTCCAAGCTTAACCCGGGAAGGAATGAAATAGATCTACTTAGATCTATTTTTAGGCACAATTAGATCTATTTCATTCTGTGTACATTTGTTTTGATCACTTTAAATCTTCTGTGATCTCTTTCTTTAGTTTTTTAGATATGAATAGATCAAATTAATTTAAATCAGATCTAAAAAATGTAAATCTGTGTAGATCTATTTTTTTTCTCCAAGAAGTCACTGGTTACAGCTATTGTTGGACAGATTTCCAAAATTTTACGGGTCTTTGCTACTCGATTAAATATTCATGACATTTTGTTCTACCTTTTCCCTCATGAAATTTTATCTTATATTTATACATTCTGTTCTTTTTTGATAAATAAGATTACGAATGAGTTTAATAGCACTTTAGTTATCTATACATAGAGTTACCACCAATTGTGGTTCATCAATATCAATTAGTGACTTTCGGAGCCATAAAATTCCTTTGGCAGCCTCACTTACAGCCATGTATTCTGATTCTGTGCTTGATAGAGCTACAGTATCTTGTTTTCTGCTAGCCCAAGTAATAACATGCTCACCATCCATCATGGTCTCTACTGTATGAACATTGAATTATACAACTAATTAGTTATACAATTGATGATTCTCTGACACGTGTTATCAAGTTCTTTCAGCTCGATTCTCTTCACCAAATTTTGTCTCAGTCATGTATTTTTTCAAGGTTAACTTAACAAGCCAAGATAGAAATGATATAAAAAAGTATTCCAAACTAAACTACAATGCGTGAATCAACAACTTTCCTAAAATTCAAGTAATTCATATTTATTCAAGAGTTGAATTATATAAATTGAATATTACCTTATCTGAAATACAAATGATTTAGATAATAATATATTCTTTTGTGTCAGAGTATCTAAGAGCAAGTGTGAAGACATAATAGTAAGAATATAAATAAAGCATCATCGAATTTGAACTGTTAGTATTTGAATAATTAAAAAATCGATTAGTCGAATTCATAACATTAATAATAGATATGGCGCGAAGATACTTCTGTTCTTCTTATCTACTGTAAAAAAAATAATCATACGATATTTTTTAATATAATTATTTATTGTCATGTTTTGATAAAATTATTTTTTTTCTCTAGAGTTATTATTGCTGTTTTAATTTCGGTTATTTATGCGGAAATTTCACCAGTCAAGAGTGATAGCAATGATGAACCAGTTTGTACAAGTGAGAATTGCAGAGCAACAGGTAAGTTCTGATATTTTTTATTTATAAACTTACACATACATATATGATCACTTGACTCTATCAAGAATCGAGTACTAATACAATGACATATTCTAGCTGAGAGATTATTAAGAAGCATGAATCTTCATGAGAACCCTTGTGATAGTTTTTATGAATATTCTTGTGGGAATTGGTCAAGTGAAAATCCAACATGGGATGAGTTCATGGAGGATAATATCCGACATAAAGTCAGAGGTATTATTGTGTAAAGAAACAACCCAGGAAAAATTTTTCGTATATGATCGTACATTCACTGAGAATTTTTTTCTTTACATTTTATTGAGTGGCCCAGTAAATTTTACTGAGACAGTCCAGCAATGCAGGAGTTCGAATGCATTTAAATCCTTTAGAAGATATAAAAAAAATAATTGGTCTGAGCACACTTTGTCGGTGCTAACACGACGAATTTCCCATTAGTAATTGTTTATAACAAATTCGTATTGTTATAAACAATGTGTAATTTTTACGAGTCATATTTCCTCATTAATAATATTATTTTGTTGAAAGCATCCAAATCCATGTGATAAACACATTATTTTTTCAATAAATGCAATTTTTAATTGTTTATAACAAATTCGTATTGTTATAAACAATGCATGTTTGATAAAAGTTATGTTTAGTTGTGAACAATAATGTCTAGTCAGTATCGACTCAATTTTCAAATGAAATTGTTATTGTTTGGCTTAAAAGTATTTTAGATAGTCAATATTCTTATTTATTTATTAGTTATTTTGTTATAAAAAAAAACAGCTTGACTGAATTCGTTCAAATTTCACTCAGATCTTCTTTTTAATAATATCTTTCGAATTAATTTAAGTTGAAGTCGATATCTTAATCCGTTCTTGAGATATCGAAAACGAAAAAAATGCTGACATCCGTACAGACATACGTACGTACGTACGTACGTATACACGCATCATTCTAAAAATTGGTCAGTATGCCTGCAAATACCATGAAACGTGGAGATATGACGAAAATTCAAATCTTACCAATCGACCTAATTTCAATAATTTCTTAATGGGAAGTTAAATATGATTGTGTAAATATTTCTCAAATTGTCAATGCTACTAATTAGAAAAAATACATAATGAAAGATTGGATCTGATAAAAGAATACTTCTTTATTTATAGATTTTTTAAAACTTAATAAAATTTACTGATAAACACAGTTAATTTTGCTGAGAACGAATTTAACTTAGAAGCTTGGTAAAATTTCCTGGGTAACCCTGGGTAAATTTTACTGAGCATGCGCACATGGTCCCGCATTACTAGACTGTTCCTGTAAAATTTACTAGGCCGCTGAATTGGCCTTCATGGTTCATATATAAAACATATTTGATCTTGTATGGATTGTATATGAAACCTATAAGATCATATTATGGACCATATAAAGGCCGATTTTCCATATACAATCATATAAGAAAATTTTTCCCAGGTTGTTAAATTGATTTGTTGCTAGAAGATAAATTAAGATGAAATTATCAATTTGTTAATAATTTTTTCAGAGCTGTTGGATGATGCATCACCAACAAAAAATTCTATTCTAACCAAAGTTCAACAATTCTATAAATCTTGTTTAAAAGCAGGTAATAAATTTGTACGAAATTATTTTTCTATTTTTTTATTATTTATCGATGGAATTGTCATTCTTAGCTAATAGTTCCGAGGAAGAAATGATGTTAGAACTCTTTACGACAGTTGATTCAAAAGGGGGATGGCCAGTTCTGATGTCAGAGAATGAATGGTTATCAAAAAATAAATCATGGCAAGATGTTGATATTCCATTTCGAAAAATGATTCATTTTTCACTCTTTTTCTCAATTTCTACTGCCAATTCTGATAAAAATACTCCTTTGCTCTTTAAAGTAATAAAAAATATTATTCATTTATTTTTAAAAAAATAACGTTAACTATCAGACTAATTTTAATAATAAAAATTACAGCTTGAATTTACTCCAACTCAAAGACTAAAGGATATATCATTTGGAGATCACTTTGATGACTTTATAAAGTTACCTCAAGTTATTAATTACACAAATCTTATTAAACATACTGCCCTGACATTCGCAGTAGGTCACAATAGGTCTCTAAATGAGCCAAAGCTTGAGAAAGACATAGAAGATATCATCAAGTTCCAATGGGAATTGGAACAGGTAAGTTTTAGCAAAAACTAGCAGATTCCCGTGACTTTGTCCTCGTTATTTATATAATCACGTTGCAAAATAATGGATTGATCGAGAATATTTTAAATAGTAATTGCATAGTATATATAAGCTTATTTTAATACCCATTACCGTTCTCAAATATATTGATTAGATTTCGTTTTTCATTGTTTACAACAAATTCAAATGTTAGAAACAATTTACATAAACAAAAAGTAGCTTATAACCTTCCCCACAATGCCCTCTACATTTCTGCAAAATTTGGTTGCAATCGGATTAGTCGTTCCGGAGATTACCCCAAACAGACAGACAGACAGACAGACAGACAGACACCAGAATTTTACATAGTAGTATAGATATAGAAGCTGAAATAAATAAAATAAGAATAAGTAACACAATCTATAGCAATTAATGAATGTTTTTTAAATTATCTAGATAAAAAATAGGATAATGAATGAATCAGTTGATGATGAATCTCCACAATTGAATATTATGAGTATTGATGAATTCCAAAATCAGTTTATTTCGGTAAGTTCTGACACTAAAAATAAAAAGATATGTACTATCTTGAGGTCACATCTTTACTACATAATATATTGCAGATCAATTTACTAAAGATGATTAAACAAAGCTTTCACGGCGTTCCTAATTTTAATGTTTCTGGATCAGATAACACTTCTCTTCAATTAGACTACTTCTTAGAACTAGATAGCTTATTGAACCGAACATCTCCAAAAATCATTGGTACGTACATCTAACGATACTCTTTAATTAATAATGACATTAATTATCATTAATTGTGTTGCAGTAAATGTATTGTATTTGGAATTAATGGAAATAATTAGAGAACAATGGTTACCAGTATTTCACGCAATTTTTCAAAACGAAAATATGCAGAAAAAAGTGTGCCAACAATTTACTACATCATTTTATCCATTGTTAATTGATTATATTTATTTACAAAAATATGCTTCTGATGCAGTCATAAATCAAGTAAAATTTTTGATCAATTTATTTTCAAGTAAAATATGATTAAATCTTATTATTAAATATCATTGCACAGACTCTAGAAATGATGCCAAATATTAAAAGTGGAATAGAAACCGTAATCAACCGTACTTCAACTTCTGAATCATTGAAAAATTATTGGTTTAATACAGCAAAATATTTTCCCATTCATGTTGGATATCCAACTTGGTACAAAAATGAAACTCTAGTCAATAATTTTTATAAAGGTCTTACTACAAGTGAATCCTTTTTCAATAATCTTCTGACTAGAGATAGATTTGAATTAATTGAAGGATTGGAATCATTCCAATCGATTATGTACGTTTAAAATTTATTAATTAATCATGTGAACTGATCTTTTATTAACGTATTAATTATTTTACAGGTGGCCTTTTTCACCATTAATAACCCACACCTTTTTTGATCCTCATCAATTGAAAATATGTAAGTGTGAAATATTTTTCGATTAATATAACATAAAATATTGTAGTCATTAACATTACGTTAATTTTTTCAGATGTAAATTATGGTATTTTACAAAAACCATACTTTGATGTTGAACAACCTGGGTAAGTAAATTGGGAAGACTATGGCAGAGAAAATAGACCTGCATCAAAGAAAAGAGATAATATACATAACAGAAGAACCATCTTAATGAGAGCTGTTGGACGGTAATTTTTACCTGCTGTTATATGGCTGGGGATACAAAACTAATGCTAAAATGCCATATGTATCCCCAAGAATTCGTCCAACAGATCCCCATGCGGTGGTTCTTCTATATTATTTCTTTTCTCTGCCTGCATAGAAGATCAACGCTGTGTTCTGTTTAGGGATCATCCCAGACCACCCCACCCATGTTAAACTCCTACCTGGCTCCATAAGAACTCATACTAAATTTTTGGAACACATCGGCCCATTTGAAATAAACTTTTATTCACGTCTCTCTTCTCTGACTACGATTTCCGTGGTGCCGAAATGTTTTATTGACTCGCAAAATTTTTGTAACTTGGTACAATGTACAGTACCAGACATAAATGCTGTTCAATTTTTTGAAGGTTATACATGAGATTTTCCTATACTGTTCTACAGAAAATCACACAGCATTTATGTTCGGTACTGTATACTTGCAGGGTGATTTTTTATCATCAAACGATATTCAAATGGCTGAATGTCGCCACTAGAGACCACCACCTTCTAATTCTGTAGTCCCTCAAAACGGAGTCTGGCAAGACGACGCCATATTACCCGATTCCTGCCTAAAGTCTCATGAGAATTTAAGGGACTTTAGTTCTGCCTGACTCTATGTTGCCAGACTCAATTTTATGGGACTCTAGTCCAAAATTATGCCCATGTATAAGCCCATATAGACCCAAAATTTAAAGTATCAATATCTCGACAACTAAGCAAGATACGAAAAAATTTTATTCCTCATTTTCGTTTTATTTTGGATTGTTCTATCGAAATTCATTGTCATTTCGTGGCGCCGTGGAAACCGTAGTCGTGCCAGTAAATTTATATCAGACGTTTCAAATTAGTATGCACTTTTTATCACATAATGCAATATTTATTTATAAATAGTGTTGTTAATTATGGAGGTATTGGTTCCGTTGTTGGACATCAACTCGTCCACAGCCTTTACGGCTATGCGAATCCTTATCATGAAAATGGAGAAGAAGAAACCTGGTTTGCTCGCATTGAACCCAAGCTTCAAGACCACTATAGATGTATGATTAGAAAATATTCCAACTATTCTGTTGTTGAAGGAAATAAAACATATCAAGTTGGTTATATTCCAAAGCAAAATTTTTAATTAAAAACAAAAATAAGCAGCAGAATTAATTCTAATGATTTTAGGTGAACCCATATGAAAAATTGATGGAAAATATCGCTGATATGATTGGAGTCCAAGCAAGTTATAAAGCATTTCAAATTTATAAAGAGAACCACATTGAATCAAGAATCAGATTACCAGGTCTTGAACATCTTAACAGTGATCAGCTTTTATTCCTCATTTATGCTTCTGTAAGAATTATTTAATATTTATTTTAATGTCTTTAACTGACACTTTTTAATGTAATATTTTTTAATCTTTTAGACCAAATGTTCCAAAAATATTAATAAAATAGACAACGATATGTGGAAAAGTCAAATTCATTCAAAATTAAGGGTAGATGCTGCTCTTTCAAGTAGTAGCATTTTTGCAGAGACTTTTCACTGTTCTAAAGGTGCTAAGATGTATCCTGAAGAAAAATGTGCTTAATTGGAGGAATAATTACTTGATTGTAAAACGAATAATTATTCGACATCGAAGATTAACTTAGTTTAGTAGTTTTAGTATAATAAAAAATAAAATAAAAATGAATTTTGGTCCTTTTATTTCTATTCATACTTACTACTACCCGGGAAAAAATTTTCTTCTATAATTGTACATATTAGCTATTAATAATTAATTACAAGAGTAAGTACTACACACACACACACAACGAATATCTCGAATGAAGAGAAACTATTCTCTCAGCAATCATGTATTTCAAGCAAAACTATAATATCTTGGCTCGAAAAAAATTATCTCGAGTCAAAAAAAATATTATCTCGAGCCAATATAACATGATTTTCATTATATACGAAACCCAGATTATCTTGAATAAATAAAATTTTTCTTGAACTGAGATATTCTTTTTCTGTGTGCATTTATCCATTTTTTGAAGAAATTTTTTTATAACAAATTATTTTTTATTTTTATTCAATTTATTAAATTAAAAATTTAAAATCAAATTTTTAATAAAAAAACCGCACACAAAGCGCACCTTATATTTACTAGTATGTTTATAAATTACACGATAATTTACGATATGACATCTGAAAAAAAGGAAAAAAAACAATAATTTATATTCTGAGCACTGTTTTTTTTTATCTACAAGTGTAGTGAGAATAAGATAACAAATATTATTACCAATATCAATTTTAAATTAAATATATATTTTCTTTTAATAATAATCTACTGTAAAAAAAATTACTAATATGATAATCTAATATAATAATACTCATAAATAAGCATCCACCCGTCATTTATATGTAAAGATAAACTAGAAACATGAACAGATTTGTAGAGATATGTTATATCGATAAGTGAACTGTAATATTATACGCATGGAATTATTTTCGCAACATGGAGTGAAGAATGTAGAATTATTCGAAATAAAGATGATCAATAAGCAAGGATTATTTTCAAAATAATTCATAACAAAAAATAAAGTCGACTTTGAAGGTTTGAAAAATTAATTTTGAGAGAAGATTATTCCTTGGACAATATATTTAAATCACAAAAGCAATGATTAAGATAATATTAATGGTTTTATTGTTTCGTATTCTACAAGTTCTGTGTGAATTAAATACTCCTGCAAAATCATACGCAGAAATTATAATGTATATCAATGATTATTATCAATGTGACTACATTTTTTCATTCGATGATACTTTTAACATCAGTAAAAAACAATGGAATCAGCAAATTATTTTCGCGAAACCCAATGAAAAATTGAAAAACATGAAAGAATTTGAGAAAGCGATAAAACCTCTTATAGTTTACTTCAATAATCCAGACAGTACGAAATTTCAAGTATAAATGCAAAGTATTTTTATGATTTATTGTTGTAATACATTAATTAATACATTGATATTGATGCAATTAGTTAATTACATCAGCAGTAGATACATCGAAACCAATATTCTGCTTCTTCATGAACGTTAATGCAAAAGTAGAGGATTTTTTTAGTAACATGTATTTCCCATATCGATATAAATTTATAGTTTCTCAAAGAAATGAAATGAATCAAGAAAAAATATGGAAAGTTAAATTAGATAATAAGAAAAGAGAAATTGTCAAATTACTTTTCGCAACATGGAGCGAAGAAACTGGAATTAAATCATTCACTAGACCTGAGGAGATTCTATCGGGTCATACTCTACGTGCAGGAATACGTCATGTAAGTATAAAAATATCTGGATGCAATGAAGAAATATTTTCCGCTGGTATTTTTGTAGAATCCACCTCTCGCAACTGTCAAAAGAATTGATAATGAATTACAATTAACTGGATATACAGGGACGATGGCAAAGTCATTAGAAAGTCTATTGAATTTTAGGTATATCTCCAACGATTCATCTGAGATAGAAAATATCTGGCTATTTTAAGTCAAAATACCGGAATTTAGGGGAAAAATATTCGCCAATTTTGCCACGCAAAACAGCCCATTTTGTTGTAAAATTTATAGAATGCAAAGATAGTATAATATTCTAGCACGTATGAGAAAGAGTGCATTTCACACCTAGTGAGGAAAAGTAGTCTAACTTAAACCACGTGTAAAATTACAACCCGAGCCAAAGGCAAAGGTGGTAAACACGTGGTTTAAACTAGTCTAATTATCCTCCTTAAAGTTGAATATGATTCTTCATCATACGTGTGTGGAAAGTTCAATCCCTCTCCAATGGAAAAATGAACTTTCCATCTGGGATGAGAAATTTAGAAGCGTCTAATTGATTAAGTATTTTTCAGGTTTACCTACACATTTGTGAGTGATATTGGATTTAAAGAAAACGGAACATGGAATGGTGGTATAGGTTTATTAATGAATGATTCGATTGATGTTTTTCTTTTTCCAACTATTTTCTCCCTTCAACGCAATGAAGATGTTGATTTTTCATTCCCATTCATAATGTCAAAGTACAAAACCTCATTTTTAGTATATGTTTAATTTCTAGTCTAGTTAATTAAATAGTACATTTCCCACCTAGTGAGGAAAAGTTGTCTAACTTGAACCACGTGTAAAATCACAACCCGAGCTGAAGGCAAGGGTAGTAAACACGTGGTTTAAGCTAGTCTAATTGTCTTCCCTAGGGCTGAATATGATCTTTCGTCATACCTGTGTCGAAAGTTCAACCCCTCTCCAATGGAAAAGTGAATTTTCCGCACGGGTATGGCGAAAAATAGTTTTCTTTAAATGTAATACTAATTTTAAATTACCTTACTATCTTTAAGCCATGCCATGTTCATAAAGAAACCTGATGACGCATTCAGTTGGTCCAGCTATTTCAAACCTTTCGAAATTACTATATGGTTTGCTATTTTATTGACCATAATTATTGAAAGCGTTGCATTATCTGTTCTCAAATATTATCAGAAAATAAATGTGATTGAAAGATTAAGAAGGAGACCGATTAAACGCAATTTGAATTATATAGAAATACTTCTTGATGTTTATAAAACGACGTGTGGTCAAGGTATGTACTGTTGGAAACCCTAATGATTCACCAATGTTAACAATAAAATTATTAAACTTTCTAATTCTAACAATAAAGTTTCTAAATTTCTAACTTTATGACTTTTTCAAAGAAATGCAATAAAACTACGGTCACTGACTTAACGCCCACATTTCCCAACTTTCCACTTTGGAACCTTTTCCCTACCATCAACCATAGTACCTAATGCACACCATGCACTAATATAAATATGATCAACATTCTTCACTAGTCAGATCACTTATAATTCTTCCTTCGACAAGTCTATACTAAACATCTGTTAAAAATTATCTTCCTTTAAACCTATATCCAATATTAAATAACGAAGAATATTAATCAGAATACAATTGTTTTGTGATTTGAAAATTACTTAAATAAATCTCGTTGGAATACAACAGTACGTGGAAATGTAACCTAAAAAATTTTACCTGCCTGAGTTTGGACATATTATTTACAGGATTAAATCAATCACGCTTTGTCCCGATAAGGATTTTTCAGTTGACAATTCACACTACAGCTTTACTTATATTAACATTTTATTCCGCTGTATTTTTGAGCATAATAACGACACCAGAATTCAAACTTCCTATTACCAGTTTCAAGGATCTGATTGAAAATAGCAACTACAAATTAGGTGCAATAAAGGCTCAAGTATGGAATACTATTGAGGTACAAGATATTTTATACATAGTCCTGTGCTCTGTACCTGATAATTTTAGCTTCAAACACAGAGAGAATTTTTTCACTGAATGTATGTTGTATGTTTGACTTGATTCCGCATTTCTAGGCATTGAGACGAAGAGAATGAGTGGTCGAACTTGAAAATCGGACAACTTTGATTTTTCGACCCCAAAAAATGGCAAGTGGTACCCCTTTCCATTTTTTTAGGCCAAAAAATAAAAGTACTCCAATTTTGATGATTGACGGGCTCATTCTCTTCGTCTTGATGCGTAGAAATGCGGAATCGAGGCCCAGCCCAAGAAAATTCACTTTAACACACTTAAAAAGGGGTAAAACTGGATGCAAATTGCGAATCATCATCCCCTTGACTTTAAACCCTCATAACTCATGAACGGACGGTCCAATGATCGTTTTTAGGGACGTTTTAGAAACTTTAGGATCTAAGCTGAATATGAATATCCATAAAAAATGTATAAAAAATTTTTTTCACCCTTAAAATCGCTAAAATATAAAAAAAATCACATTTTTTTGGGAAGTTGCCCATTATTGAGGCCATTTTGAGGGTGAAATAAATTTTTTTGACATTTTTCATGGATATGTATTTCTAGCTTAGATTCTGAAGTTTTTAAATACTTCTTTAAAATCGTTATTCGATGACTTGTATGGAAGTTATAGAGGTCAAAAGTCGAAGGTGGATCAAAAAATCATCTGCTCGCTAACTTTGGTGGAACAATTCTCTCTGTGTATATTCATTGCAAATCTTTCAATTTTCGGATGATAATACAACAAACAATAAATTTATTAAATTTTTAGCAAAGTGATAATGAAGTTATGCAAAAAATTTACCACAAACACTTAAAAACACAAAATCCAATACCAGCATCTCACACCGAAGGTCTTAAACGTATGTGTGAAAATGAAAAATATGCATTTGTAACGATTGACTATTTGGTCTATGCTTATGCATCACCAAGCTGTACACCAGTTTTTATCGATCATTTATCAACAGTGTCACAAGGCATTGTGTTTCAACATAACAGCCCTTATAAAAAAATCTTTAATAAAATGTAAGTTAACCTGAAGATAACTTTCAGTATAATTGACCAGAAATTTTAAATTTGCAGTTTATTGAAAATGTATGAAAGCGGAATGCAAAAAAAAATTAATCAAGAACATTTTACATTGCCCAAAAAGGTATTTATAAATATTAGATAAAAATATGTTTAGAAATATATACTGACTGATTACTATTAGGAATAATGACAATGTAGAACTAATTAT